CAGCCCCGCTGATTTTCAGAATCACGTGACGCTAAACAAACACAATGTTCACAAAATATTAATAGGAAAATACAAGTCAAGAGCTTTCCAAACATATATAGATTGTATGGTTTCTTGTAAAATTTATTCCGATTATAGGTGTTTACATTTTTCATGCAAAAAAACTATCCTGCTACCTTAATGGAGGGTCAAATGTAACAAATTTTCACTGAGTGGCTCTTAATTGAGGGTGGCGCTTATTTGCGGGTTTTTACGGTAATCATCATATATCAATGAATGTTTATACATGGATGCTGTAGGACAATAGACAGACCTGGATAATTGTGGGTTAAAATCTGTACATATTAATTACCCAATTTGCATAATTAACCAATTTTAAGCTTCCATACTGATATCTAAAGTACTAATTTCCATTTTAATGAAACTTAGTACAAAGATGCTCTAGGACAATGTACAAACCTAATTAGTTTGGGGTAAAACTCTGTTCATATTATTTCCCCAATTAGCATAATAAATCATATTTTTGGTTCTAATCACATTTCAATTAAACTTGGTACATAGAGTTTTTGTTACATTGCGTAGACCTCATTAGTTTTACAATCAAATCTGTTCATGTTAATTTTCTGATTTGCATAATTAGTTTTCAGCTAAGTAATTTCAAATTATATTTAATGCGTCTCCAATACTCTCAGCACATGGGAGTTCTTTCTAAGCTTTGATACTTCCTGGGGTTTCAGCGATGCTTCTTTGTTATAGCATCACTCGTTCTATTCAGTGACTTCGCAAGTTATACCTGGTAATTACTTTTGTCCCCAAATAGCATTACACACTTTTAAATCTTCTGCTAAAGTACCATTAAACCTATCAAACTGTAATTTGGTATTTAGTGTGTAAATAAAAGTCCATTGCAGTTTGTCAGAGCCATTGACACTATCGTTCATGTCCTGGGTGCGCAATTAGGAATGAATTTTCGTAGCAGTTTGTGAACACAGGTGTTAATTGCTGTTGTATTTTGATCTTTGTTTACGTCGACTTTGAAACAGGAAAGAAAACTGACCATTTCACTACAAGCTAGTGCAGGATTTAAACTACCATCGGTATACAAGACATGCTGACCAGTAGACCAAAGGGTCTACAATGAAGCATACGCAGGCGATAGGGTTCACGAGTTTGAACCCCCCCCCCCAGGACATTTCAATTTCTCTTTAAACATTACTTTCCTATCACAATTGATATGCACAATTCCACAAGATTTTATGTAAAAGTAAAATTTGACTCTTAGCAAGGGATTAAAACCGACAATCTCCAGACCACAAATTTACTCTCCCAATTATACTACTGACAGAAATAGTCTCGTTACAAATCTGAAATTCGGTTTTCAGAGTGTATGGGTAAAGTGCATTACAATTTGAGAATCCTTCACAATGCAAAACTTTAACCCATGTTGCTACTTAACATCCGGTATAAAACGATCTTCTGCCTGTTTATCAAAATGAAAATTTATGGTTAATTGCAGAATGATCTTGCGAGATAATGTTGGGCTCGTCCAGGTTCAATTTCGCTTATACATTAGGTACTCAAAATTGACTAGTCCCATTTCAAGATTACATGGTTGCCATGGAAATAATTTGGCAACCATGCATACACATGATAACTGCAATGACAGCTAATGGTTGCTTTGTGCCTTCAGCCAGCTTTTCAGTCAAACAAGATTTGTTGTAGAGTAAGGTAGAATATCATTAAAAACAAAGACTATTGTTACTTTCATTTTTTTTTTATTCAGATGAGTTCTCTCCAAATATGATCACAACAAAAATTTCAAAACTGAATTTAATCAGCAGTGAATGCCAATGCCTGGTGTTGAGTTATTTCAAGAGATAATTTGCATATAGCCACATTGTCTGCTGGATACCTTCCTTAAACTACTGATACGAGTGGTCACTGCACCAGAAGGCAATATGTTGAAGTGATAAAATTCTTGTTGCTATCACATTTGGTAGGTGTGAATTTTAGTCAAAAAGACCAAATCCCATGTCATCGTCAGATTCTTCCTCAGATTCTTCTTTCTTCTCTTCCTTTGCTTCAGACTTTTCCTCAGCAGCCGGAGCTACTTCCACAACAAATGCAGATGGATCAGCCAGATATGCCTTCATCTGAAAAATGTCCAACAATTATTAATATCTTGTTCAAAGATATTGGTTAAAAGAAGCAGTCTAGAAGTTGATAATGCCAACAGAGAACTTGTATTATAACCAAGGCAATTTGAATGTACATGATCAGTAATTGTTAATAGCAATAGAAAACTACCCCATGGTAGGATGATTAACAATGATAATAGCACAGGTGGAGTGCATTGTCACAATATTTAACAGACATTAGGGCAGCAGGCCCAAT